TAATTGATATTTGGCGGAACAAAACCGGTTTCAAATGCTATTATTACCTTCAAAAATTAATAACAATTTTAATTATAAAAACACTCATGGAAAAGATTTTCGGATACAACGCTATAACTCTTTGATTTATCACAAAATAGGAGCGATATCGAGTCAATCGTATTTATTATTGATTGTGAGAGAGGGATGTTTTTTTCTTGAATAAAAATTTTTGACATTTAAAATAAAATAATGGGAATAAATTGGTTTTTCTAGAATCAGTCTCATTACTTTTGGGACAGACCATGTGTATAACTTAAATTTATACTTTTGTATCGCATTAAGACAATAAGTCAATTTTATTTTATTTGAGGAAGAAGAATAGAAAATTGATTTGACATATTAATACTGTTTTTATAACGCATAATTATTTAAATTGAAATAAGATTAAATTTGTCAAGAATATGTTTTGTATTAATATCAGAAATCATGTTTGTTTGAAAGCTCTTGAATTATACTTCCAGATGCCGTAGAGTTTACTTAGAAACCGATTTTCTTTTTGCCTTCCAAAAAATGTTAAAAGTGATCAATAACGCTATTATTGACTCTTTTCCAATTAACTAAAAATTCTGACGTGCTAGACAAATTCTGCCAACGGCATCGTGTTTAGCGCGAAAGAAACCTTTGAAAAATATAAATGCGTATTAACGCATTTGAGAAAGAAAAAATGTGGTTTTTCGTTAAACTGTGTAATTAATTATTATACTAACAAATTTAATACTCACAGTATTAAATTTCTCTACGACAAAATGATTTTATCACTTAATAAAAAAAGATAAATAATTTTTACTTTATATTACGAATATTTTTCAATAAATTTTCTCTTTTTGTGTATATGTATGATTACGTAAAAAAAAAACAAATTTTATAATAATAAATGAAAACGGAAGCCAGTTGTTTTACCTTAGCGATTTGAGTAAATCCACTAGCAGATTCTGCATGACCAAGATTGGATTTTACAGAGCCGATCATTAATGGAGTTTCTCTATTATTACACAATACATTAGAGATAGCACCAATTTCTGGAGGATCGCCAGCTTTGGTACCGGTGCCATGTGCCTCTATGTAA